CTGAGGGTTATGTTTTGCTCAAGGGCAGATTCTGTGCTGGCATGTAAACACACATGTTATGATATGTTGTAAATGTTTGTGTTGAGAGTTTTATGGTCTCTTGTGCTTCTTTGATTGCTTTAGCGCTGTGCAGCCGTCAACGAGCAGAAGGACGTAATGTTCACATACATGTTACAAGCGGCTCAGCAGCCGGGACAGGTAATTTTTTAGTTATTCCACCAAATCGGGCACAATATGGTCACAGTTTGTGAATAAAGACTCTATTTTCCTCCCTGTATAGGCTGACAAAATCAAGAGACTGACTGAGCTGGTTCCTGACTTCACAGAGAAGGAGAATATCTATGCACACCTGATGAAATGCTACAGTAAGACCACTATTTCTATCAACCCTAATTTCCATTGATTTCTATCAACCCTAATTAATTGGAAATTCAGGGTTGAAATCCATTGGCCAGATTAACAATGAAAAAATAAATAAAATAAAAATCAAATATATATATATATATATATATACACATGTATTAACACAGCAAATCTATGTACCAATTACCAATTTCAACCCATTGCGAAATCTGTTTGGGTGAAATGACTGAATTTTGCCTGTGTAATTGAAAAAAAAGTAAATGTAAGCAACTTAAACAATTAGTGCTATTGTGTTACTCTGTAATCATCTGGAACTGCACATGTTGTTCTGCCTCTGTCAGTGAATAGTGTTTTATTTAAACATGATCACTGTTAAAAGCCACATGCTTCATCTGGTGGACAATGGCATTAGGTCTGTTCTCATCTCTCTGGCCTGTTTGAGTCACCCCACTGTTTTGGCACACAGCAAAGCTAGTCCGTTAATAGTCTGCCAATTAAAAATGCAGCAAGCGGAACACATTGACTGACTCACAGGAGGCACGTTTGCTAATACAAACACATGTTCCCTAATGAGGGGCTACTTTAGCCAGCCTACCGTGAGAACTTTGACACGTTTCAGTACTTAGAGACCTCTGCAGCATCACTATTTCATGAGGCCTGATATGTGCAGAATGAAATATTGGTTGTTTAACACAGCTGTTGTTCTGCCTCACTCTCAACAGGTTTGGATAAGGACCTCAGTTCAGCGAAGGCTCTGTATGAGCGCATGCAGGCTGAGGGGGTGAAGGCTGATGAGTTAACTCTCAAAAGACTGGCGCTACTATACACGGAAGCTGGAGAAACTCTTCCCTTCCAGGAGCCTCCGGTAATCATCCACAATCATTAACACTTCATACATTTTGAACATGTAATTTTATATAAATAAGAGTAATCTTTTAAACCAAACAGGCATTGTTGCAGAGTCGATTGAAATGTTTTTTAAAAAATGTAGTTAAAAATAATGTTTAGATGTACAATTTTCGCCACCAGGGGTCGCTAACCTCTTACAATAACAAAGGCATATATTAAAGACGGTAAAGCATTAAGTTTAGGGCGCCAAAATGGCTAGCAGCGGTACTGGTTTTATGTACATTCGCTTACCTGTCTAATAAAGTAACTTACATGCAACACTCGCGTCTCTGTCAAGTCGAAGTTAGTCGCGAACATGGAGCTCTCGGCATCTCAAAAGATGTTGATCTTCGTTTTAGTCCTCTTTTAGTCTCAAATGGTCCATAAAACTCTACTCTGGACAAATGTGGGCAAAAGAGTTTTGATTTATTTAAAAAAAAAAATGCTTCCCTTGATCTGAGCGGTACAAGACTTGGCTACTTTTCCTAAGGTTGCCTCCTGAACACACACAATTTTTTTTTTGTCTCAATTCTACAATGTTAAGTGGGTGAAAAAAAATCTCCCTAATCTTGTATTTGGGTCAAAAATGGGCACCCATAGAAATGAATGGGAAAAGCTGTAATTTAGAGCATTCTAAAATAAGCCAAAATAAGACACCAGGTGACTGCAGTCACTTCATCTTTAGATTTTAGCTCTAAGAACTTATTGGAATGATATTTTTATGTAGTTAAAAAAAAATTAAAAATAAAACATAAAAAGAAGCATAATTTACATAGAAAATATCGTACTTTAAGAAGTAAATTAATTCAAAAATACCCCCAAAATAAAAATAAAAACCATAAATGGTTAGACAAAACTTTATCGAAGACAGTGATATAACATTTATAATAAATAAAAATTAGGATCACACCTGAGTCCTCTGTGCCCACATTTGTCCACAATTACAGGATTAAGGGCTATAAAGTGAATACGGTTTGAGGGCTACGTAGTATTATGCAACAAATTGCCCAATTCAAAACGTGAGCTTCTTCATGAACTGCACATGCTGTGCACCCATTTTATTTAATAACCATTTGTGAAGTTGGTCAAGCACTAATTGATTAGGTTTGAATTCACACCTGAAATACTACTGTTAGAGTAGCGTAAGAGCCGCCGCCTCAGCCCACTTCACACGCTATTGTATTATTTACTCCGTCAGAACTGCGCTCCGGTGTTTTTCAACCGATTTAGAGGAGACTGCCAGCCATCTACAAACCCCATCGCACCTCTGCACTCTCAATGCACCTTTTAAGTTCCCACAAAGCAATCTCAGGTAGCACTCCATCCCGCTCCATTCAACTCCTTCGGTCCCGCGGCCGCCACTAATACCACGGTACAAAGAGTCTCCGGAGAGAAGCGATAAGGAGAGATTTGAGGTGCCGTTCACATCTGGCCTCATTTCTCGTACACAGCGGCTGTTGTTTATCGACTTTAATTACCCCATTAATAAGGGCATATACATTGTTGGAGAAATGGTAATCTTCTAAAAGCACTCACCTTCCAAAAATAGAGAGCCTGCGCTTGTTTAATTACGGGAGGGGGAATGAGTAAATGTGTTATTTGTGAATCAATATGGTTTGTAAGATGAAACGAGAGCGTAGGATTTGTTTGGACCGTGTGGTTGTTATTAGTTTGCCCTAGATGGCAGGAAACACACAACTACACGCAGAGCCCACGGTTTTAGACTGGAACACAACACTCACTCAGGTGTTGGAAATGCTTGGCTTGTTTTGCCTCCGAGTAAAAATGTTTGGTCCCACTTTATATTAAGTGGCTTTACGTACTATGTACTTACATTGAACAATAAGTAAAATGTATTATTGTGTTCCTGTTGTATTGTAAAACACTTTTGCTGCTATTGAGGTGTGATACGGGTAAGGTTAGGGACAGGTGTGGTGGTATGGGTCTGTTTAAGGGTAGGTTAAGGTGTGAGGGGAGGGTCAACTGTGTAATTACAAATGTAATTAGCTGGTATTTTTAAAATATAAGTACAATGTAAAACATATGTACACAATAAGTCCATTGTATCAAATTATTAATTTCAATGTAAGTATATAGTACTTAAAGCCACTTAATATAAAGTGGGACCAAATGTTTTGTGTTTTTTTTTTTTGTTGTTTTTTTGTCTCGCAGGAGTCTTTTAGTTTCTACGCAGACAAACTGAAGAAGCAGAGGTTAGAATCCGTGGGGCCGGCTGACGACTGAAAACACCTTCCTTCATTTTTTTTTTTGATATACAGCAGATGTGCACAGCTTGTGTGTTATACTGTGATTGTTTGTTTTTGCCCTTCATAATAATGTCATGATAGTTAACGTGTACATAAATATTTATGCAAATAAATGTAAACCCAAAAGTTTAGTGGCTCTTTTGTTGGTTTCTTTTTTTTTTATCTTTTCTTTTGATTCATTAAATATGTCCCATGATAAGTTGTTTTCAACAAATGGAATATTCATATAAGAAGCATGAAAATGACAACATGGATTATTTGTGAAAAGCTCAGTAAAGTTCTTTACCATTTCAATCTTAGTTATGTAGTAATGTATACAGTGCTGTATAATAAACATCTCATTGGAACAATCATGGATCAGCTGACATGCATCCTGCTTTCAATTTTTTTTCATATTTGAAACACATTTATCAGGATCTAGCACAAGTGCATTAAAACGCACATTATCTAGCTTTTAAAACAAATGCATGATTTACAAAACCTTTCAAAAGATTTTTGATACAGCCTTATCGGTGCACACTTTAAGCAGTAAAATCGTCTACATGCTTGAATAAATAAACATTCAGACTGGAACAAAGAAAAGCTGTTTATGGATATTTACCAAAGCTCTGCTTCAATCTCTTGTCAAATTGAACTAAAAGTGTGGAAGGAAACGAACAGAACATCACTGCCATCCAGTGGCAGTGAACTGAAGTCTGAAGAGATCTCGCTGTGACCGTCAGAGGACCAGCTCTTCTGTCATAGTGTCTTTGGTTTGACCTCTGAGTATTGTCGCAGCAAATGTCATTGAATAGGCTACCAGTAATACACTGGAGCATGTTTAAAAAAAAAAAAACACATTTAGATATAAATCCACTTCAACATTTTTTGATTCCAGGAACATTAAGTTTGGAGTCTTTAGGCTATTATTTCAAGAAACAGCTGAAGACGCATCTTTTTTGGAAACAGTTGATCCATTAATACTCTTTAATCTTCTACTCTATATCTATTATCTTTATAAAAAAATACATATATCCTACTGCGTTAGATTAATCTGAGAAGGGTCCTATCACTTGCAAATTGTTGTTTAACTGCTTCCATTGTTCTCATTTGTAAGTCGCTTTTGATAAAAGTGTTTGCTAAATTAATAAATGTAAATGTAATGTATTCCTAAAATGGCAAAGCTGAATTTTCAGCATCATTCCTCCAGTCACATAATCTTTCAGAAATCATTCTAACATGCCGATTTGCTGTTTTAAGAAACATCATTGATACATTTTTTCAGGATTCTTTGATGAATGAAAGAAAAAATTATTATTAAAAAAATGTGTACTGATGCCAAACTTTTGATCTGTAGTGTATATTGTGACACTTTTTTATTGCAAATGAAAGGTTACATAAATGTGTGTTCATATCACATTTTTGTGAATTTTCTATTATATACTATTACATTAACATTTCTGCATGTCTTAGTGTTTTTTTTGTTTTGTTATTGCAGTTCACTCATTCTCCCGCAGTTTTCTGTCTCAAAGGGAGGTGGACGGCTGTTTTCTCCTCGGTCAGGAGAGTTAAAGAACACCAGAGGATTTTCTCAAGCCAAATGTAAATGGATGTAGGCAGAGTAAAAGCTGATGAGATGCCTTAGAGAGGGATGACATCTTCCAAGAGCTCTTAGTAAGCTCACTAGCATCATTACATTTTAAAATGATATATAAGTGATGATATCAAAACAGTTTGGAATTATACTGTACTTCAAGTGTATCTACCATTTTTGTCTTAACAGAAAGTCACACTGAAGTCTTATACAAGCTTGGCCCGTTTCAGTTTCCTCACACTACTGTATTCAGTTGTATCTACTGTATCTGTTTCAGACTTTGCTTTTGCAACCATCAGTGGAGGAAAGCAACGATGATCACTGGATTTGATCCATGCCAGGTCATAACCCTTTTTATTGATCTCAAGTTAGCATAGACCCAACCAAATATTACAATCATACATTTATATTTACTAAATACACAATTCATCTCCACATGTGTCAAAAATAGACTTCCACACACAAATAAGGTGATAAGTAAAAAAAAGTCATGTGACAGATGAGCAAGTCTAATAAAATGTTCATTTTACAGAAACATTTGGTACACAGTCAGACAGTTTTACAGATATCTCAGTTTCACTTTATTTGACATGTGCATTTATGTGTACTTAAGAAAGTACTGAGTAATAATAACAACATGAGTTAAGATTAGGTTCAGGGTTAGTAGTTATTACCAAGTTATTGTAATTATTATAATAATAAGGAACAGGACTGTAAAATAAAGTGCTACCAATATTTTTTATACAGAGACATCCAGATCTTATGTACGACTGGAATATTTGCAGTATAAATTTGTTCCTGACACTGATTTAGCCATTAGGTTGTATATTAATTGTTCAATTCTAGTAATGTTTGAAACATCACATCAGTAGTTTTTCTTTCTCCTGCAGTTGTGGTTATTCATCTCTCTGTTCAACATTATGCTGCATTAAATCGTAGCAGACATGTGGAATCAAACACAAATACATTCCAAGTTGCAAATTCTTAGGCCTAAATCTTAGCATGTTGCACCAGTGCATTTCAGTTTCTAAACATGTAACTTTCAAAGCTCTTGTAGTAGTACACTGTGACAAATACACATTGTGACACGTTACACTAAATCTGTTGAAAGGTATCTTTCAAACATGATGTCTAGTGGCTTATCAAAAAAGTTAATAATTAAGTAAACTTTAAAGAGTGAAGGAAAAACATAGTATGTTACTGCCATCCAGCGGCAGTTAGTGGTAGTACAATGAAACTCTACATTAGTTGACGTAGTTTCAGCCTCAAATTATCATTCAGTCATCTCAGAAAACTTTCAAACTGAAAACCAGAGATTATTCTGTTGTGATTGAAATTGGTGAGAGCCATATTTTGACTCGACAGAGTTGTTTTTATAAAATCTGTGGTTATAAGACCGGTTTCTTGGCAGGAATAAGCACCAGATTTTATGCTGCTGATTTGATCTGTCCTCCTCACCAGTCCTGACTGGATTTCTGTTTAATGAATCGGAGTGACAGATAATAGAGAAGCATAAAAACTAAAGCAACAGCAATAAGCACCAAGTAGCAGGAATACAGTGGATACTGGTTCATGTTCATCATCTCCACAACCTAAAAACAAAGCGCAACACCTGAATGTAATGGTATCCATCAATATAAACCATAGTTGGTCAGTTGGTCACATTACTCACCTTAATACCATCAAATTCTCCAGTATAGTTTCCAATGGAGATTGGGAGTCTGGTCCCACGGAACTGAACCTGCAGCATTCCCTCAAAACCCCAACGCATGAAGGATATGTAAGAAAACCAAGACGCCACTGTTGGTAATAAAAGTCAATATATTAATTCAAGAAATACTCGCAGATTTGTAGCTAGTTACTGTAGCTAGTGTCAATTCTGTTAACTCAGTAATGTTTTTACCCAGCCACATGTTTTCCAGACTAATGACAAATCCAGCAGTCAAGTAGAAGACAGTGAAGAGAGCGTTGCCCATGAAAGACGACGTCTGCAATGTTGGCAGGGCTGCCGCCACAAATAGGGCCATGGAGCGACTGCAATACACCATCAGCCACACCAACAGGAAGCTGAGAAGGAAGCGGTCGGGAGCGCTGTTGAGCCCAGCCAACCAGTAGATGGGCACACCGTACACCAGTGTAAAGGCACAGTGCTCTGGCAGCTCACCAAGGACCTGAAAGAGACACTGGCACTTGAAATATCTCATTTAACATCAAGATCTGACAAAGTCCATCAGCCAAACAGGAGCTAATATTCAACTGGTGACCTACTGTATCCCTGTCCTGACGCTCACTTCGGTTTTAACTGTAATGTAGCTCAGATGTAACTTAATTTCTACATCTAACTGTGTTATTATAAACATAGAATGATTAAAGTCTTTAAAATGAACTTTTCCTTTTTTAAGAATGCTGCAGTGTTTATTATAAATTACTTTGTATTTATCTGTGTAACTCCCCCTTCATAATGTGTCTCAGCAGAGGGTGGAACTACATATCCTCTACAACTAACTGTAAACTGGCATTCAGATCTGCCTCCATTTAGTTGACAACACCCAGCTCTCTTCCTACGATCCAATCAATTCCTGATGGAAGAAGGCAAGTCCCACCCTTACTTTTTTACTCATTACAGAAGCAATTTCACTTAAATGTGTCACAATAGGGAAAAAAAGACTATTAAAAAATATAAATCAAAATAAGATAAGCAATTGTCAACTATTTTTCTTACAATATCCAACTCATTTTACAACTTATACAACCAAGTCGATTGACCGCCGCAATTTTTGCAGTTGCCACAATTGATTTAATAAAGCAGAAGTTAATATAGATCAACTTATATTTTTGAGATAAAAATGCCTATTTTATAAGTACTTCAAGTTATTTATTTCAGCTAACTTTTTCAGTTTTTATCTAATATTTATGTTTTATTTCAGCTTTAATTACTGAAAACAATTTGTAATTTTAGTAAACGATAACAACACTGATGTTTAGTCCTTCAATGAATCAGTGTGTTTGAACTAATGATTTGAGTGAATAATTCAAATGACTCACTCAGAATGACAGTCACTTGTCACCACCTACTGGTATAAATGATGTAACTCGTGGGAAGAATCCCCATACTAGTACTAATTAATAAACTGTCAGTCTGTCTGGAACTCATAAACACAGAAAAGCAGAATTATATAAATAGTGAACGCATGGCTAATCAAATTCGAGGGCCAGATCTAACTGTTGTAAATTACTGTAATCACACTGTGGATTGTTATATCACGCATCTATTGTAATACAGTTTTCAAAACCCAAGCAAAAAAATAAACACTTGACTCTCTAACTGCATGTTCATGAAAATCTCTACAAAAAATATAATCCTATATCTGTCTAGCCTTTACAACAATGTGAAATTGGTATATTATATGTAAAAAAAGTGATTTCATTGTTATGCTTTGCTATACCAAAGGTCTATACATAGACACCACTGTCATTTTTGAAGCTCTTACTTAATGCAGTTTATTTACCTTGGCAAAAAAGTATGAAGTGACCGAGTACATGCCATCTTCCAGTTCATGATAAAGCATGGCTCTTTCCGAATGACCTGTAAAAAACAAATATTACACCACTGGGCTTCAGGAGACACCCCAAAAACAAACATTTAATTTACCTACACTTTGCGATGACGTCCAGCACAACAGCAAAGGGTGTTAGAGCTCCTATCATGTAGAGCAAAGCCACAGTATCTTGGATAGAAAGACCCTCATCCCCAGCTCCGAAGTAAAGGAAACCGATGAGCAGTGACATCAGCAAGGCTTCCAAACCATGAACCACCAGCGTCACCAGGTCACGGTAGTTGTTAAATACCTGCCGCCTATAAAAAAGACAGGGAAACAGCTTTCAGGAGACACTTTATGCTAAACATTTTTACAATAAAAATCATTTTCCAGTTTGTTTACCTGATTAGGATTGTGAACTGTTGCACTTTTCCCGGCAGGCGATCCTTCGGTTTGGAAACTGTGATCACTGATTCTTTATTCAAAACATGAGGAACACTGCTGGTATAGAAATTGTGTTATCAGCTTCTGTGCTTTTAATTTTCATTGATTGATATATGTGAGGTTATTAAATGCTTGTCATGAAAACTTCAGTATGAAAGAACAAATGACAATATGAATATCAAAATGTATACCTTTGAGGGGTGTCCAATTCTGAAGGACCACAGTCTTCTGATTTCCACATGAAATCCTCTGTGTTCTTTACCTTCTCTACAAACTGGGCTGCTAACGTTCTGGCTTTCTCCAAACATTGTGCTTCTTTTTCAGGACTGCGCCTATCAATGCTTATCAAGTCCACTGCAAGAGAAGTTCACAGTTCAGATACAACAACCAAACTACATGATCAACTAAAGATGTCGGTTTTTCTTTCCACTCACCGTAGTAGTCAGAGGGGTTGCAGTACCTTGGACACGGGTACCCAAGAGAAGTGAAGTAAGGTACCAAATCTTTGGCCTGGCCGCAGTACACAGCTGAACCAGAAGACAGGAGCACCACCAGGTCAAAGAGTTGAAAGATATCTGAACGAGGCTGATGGACTGAGAGCAACACCAGGCGGTTCCCTCGAGCCAGACGGTACAATGTAATGACCAAATTATGGGCCGTGAAGCTGTCCAGACCTGAAGTAGGTTCATCTAGGATGAGAATACCTGAAGAAACAAATATAACTAAAGTCACGATTCTGACCAGTATAATTGAGATGGGCTACTATTATGTTTTTATTTACTTTAATATATAATATATATATATATATATATATATATATATATATATATATATATATATATTAAATAATTTTAATTTTAGTCAAAGTTTTAGCTAAATTCTATTTTTTAATTTTTATTTATTTATTTTCTATATAGTTTTTATTTTAGTATGAGTAATGCTGTCTTGGCAACTAGCTGCAATAAAATAAGTGTAGGATATTCATATTTGACTTTAATTCAAAGTATTGTAAGTTATTTTCGTTTTTTACGTTTAACGTGTTTTTAGTTTTTGCAAGTGCAGTGTTTGCAACCAATAAGGTACTTTTGGAAATTTGTTAGTTTAGCTTTTTTTATAGCTAGTATTTTTAGTCTTATTTTACTTAATGTCTTCGGGTTTAAAAGACGAGAAATAATAAATGTGTACACATCATTGTCGTACTACAAACAATCCGGCGAGTCAAAATAGTTCAACCGAACCGATTCGTTCAAACACACTCAAGCTTTGAGATGCGACGGTTGCTTCGACTGTTTGGCAAAGCAAAGATAGAAAACAATTTAAATGTAAGTTACTTGATATTAACTTCTTGTTTAAAAGTAATATCACGCCCATAATAGCACGTTGGCCTCTTTTTTAGACCCAAATCACAGATAGGCCTAAGTTACATTCAAAGCAGCGCCACCTTTTGATTTTTAACGGGAAACTGAATGCGAGGCTGTGAGGGAACATCTCTTTCGGGTCGGTTGTAAGTTACTGAACTATTATTTATATTATGTGTTTTGGATTGTTCAGCCGATTGAACACTGCAAAAATAAATTTTCAAGAAATTTCAGAAGACAAAAACCGCAGGCAACATAAAGCAGTGGCAAATGAAAATTACAAGTGATCTCAGCCCCTTTCTTTCCTGTCATGGCGCTGCTCTGAATAAGGTCTTTTCGGAACAACATCAGGCTCATGATATTGTTTTATTTCTAAGACAAAACATTGTAAACATAATGTGCATGAATCATCAACAATAATATTTAGAACATGCTTTATTTAAGTAAAATACCATTCTTGAAGCTCAAACCGCACTAGCAAGTTAGCAACGATAAGGTCGTGGGTTTGATTAATGAACTGATAAAATGTGTATACGGCTGCCAAATGCAAATTTACCTAGGGTAAAACCTTCTGCTAAATACATTAATGTAAATAGGGTCACATTTGATCTCCTGTTGACTTAAAGCGTGTTTTCATTTCAGATGTTGGTTTGTCATAGACTCACCTGGATTCCAGAGTAGCTGTACAGCGATGCTGACCCTCCTCCTCTCGCCACCTGACACTCCCCGCACATACTCATTCCCCACGCGTGTGTTGGCGCACTGCCTCAGACGCAGCTCTGCGATGACCTCATCCACCTGTAAAGGTCAAACACCCCACACACCCGACATGAGAGGGGATGCTGACAGTTAATCACGTACAACCTTTAACTGGGTGATTATGTAAGCATTTACTGTATGTTCTCAGTTGCTCACCCGCTGATCTCTCTGTTTCTGTGTGAAGTGCGCAGGCAGCCGCAGCTTCGCCACAAAGGTCAGCGTCTCTCGTACCGTGAGATGCGGTAACAAGCGGTCATCCTGCCGCACATGAGCAATGCTTTTCTTCACCAGGGAACGTGTGGAAGGTTTCCCGTTGATCAGAATCTCTCCTGATTTCATGGAGCCACCCTCATCTCGACATGTTATGATATCCAGTAAGGAGGTCTTCCCACAGCCTGCAACAAACACTTTGTTTCTTTCTGGCTTTTTCTGGTTTTATTCACTTAAAAGGGCACTGTTGAAGAATTCTGCACATATAAGGTTTGACGTACCCGAGCTGCCAATGACAGCAAGCATTTGGCCACTGTGCACACGTAGGTTTAGATCATTTATAACCGTCTGCTTGTTGCTGTGCATTTCCCAGGGCATCTTAAACTCTGACAGCCTCTCATACCAGGGTATCTGTGCTGCTGTGTCCACCTGTATGCAAATGTAAATGAGATTATTTGGGCCCTTAAAATATTTAAATGTTATTGTATTAGATTTGGGGTCTTCAAACTTTTTTAGGCAGAGGACCTCTAGTGGACTGAAAGATGGAGCAGGGAGCACATTATGTATAAAACTGAAACTGAATTATATACATATATGAATTATAACTGAGGTATAAAGCCTATAATTAATAAACGTAATACATTGTAAAGTGGTATGAACAATGACACATTTGGGTTCTTATCGGTGACTTTGTTAAAATATTGTACGTGGTTCATGTAAGAACTTAATATTGCTTCTTTTTTTACAATTTACTTTTTAGATCAAACTATAATTGCTAGACCCCCTGTTAAATCAAGCAAAGTGGCTACTAACTTTAGTTTCTGATTGAGACCCATTCTTCGGCCATCTGAACCATTATAGAAACAATGAACATTAACACTAATATTTGAAAACCAGAAAATTATGTATTTTTTTTCCTTTGTCATTTTTACCAATTCATCGTCAATGTATTGTACAATGCATTGAAAAGTGTTTTTTTTTTGCCACTTAATTTGATATTTTATACATCTACAATTTAAAGTTTTAGGGTCACTAAGATAAATAAAGTAAAAAGGATGCATCAAACTGTTCAAAAGTTACAACATAATTTCTAAAATTACACATGATTTCAAATAAATGCTGTTCTTTTAAAATTTCGATTCATCAAACAATCCTGAAAAAAATTATCAGGTTTTGTTTCCACAAAAACATTAAATGGCAAACCTGTTTTCAACAGTATTAATAATAAGAAATGTTTCTTGCTCCAATTCAGCTCTGCCATCACATGAATAGATTACATTTTTAAATATATTCAAATAGGAAGCAGTTATTTTACTTTGTAATAATATTTCACAATATTACTGTTGTTTCTGTATTTTTTAACAAATAAATGTGCACATTGTAAAAAATAATGATTTGTAATCACAACATTATTTCTTTTGTCAAATCAGCTTAAATTATGTAGTTCAGATAACATCATATTTTAAGTTTTCTGATGATTAAATCAATCTCCCTCATTGTATTAACTCAATTTTTCCATTTCAATTAACTTAAATTTTAAAGGCAACCAGGTTACTTCATTTGTTTAAGTTAAACCAACAATATTTTTATTGCCCATCATTCATTTTAAATAACTTATATGTCCAAATTCTTTTTTTTGGGCCCACTGCATGTTTGTATTTCTACTTAATGAAAAATAAAATAAAATAAAATGGATCAAGTCAAGTCAACCTTTTGACTGTAGAAATACAAACATGCAACCATCTTTCAATAACAAAGTACTTTAGCAGAAGAAAACAGGAAGAAAAGTGCAATTTGTAAATGTAAATAAAACTGAAAAGATTTCTAACCTCATAGTTCAGATTGCGGACTTCTATTTCATTGCGACCTCCGCTGTAAGTAAAATACAGACTGCTGTCCTCCTCTGGAGATGAGAAAAGAGAGTCTCGACCCTGTGTGTGTTGAAACATATTTGATTATCATTCATTTACAATCACAATCTGTTACTCTTGGTTCTTAGTGTCAATACTTTCGGTGTAAAGTTTATCGGGTTTAATTAAGATTCTGCAATTTTTTTTATCAGATCTATCAAATGCCAGCAGATAAGAGAACTGGACTGAGTTGTCTGCATGGTTCAGGGTCCATTTATGTAATAGAGCAGAATCACTCATTTTTACAGAATCACACTCAATGAACTTGACTACATAAAGCAATAGCATGGAAGTAATGATATACTCTTGTTATTAATGTGAATACAACACTTGGTATAGGGTATACAGTAGGTTCACTTTTACGTTGCGACTGCTCGTATATTCATAGTTCATTATGAACTCACCCTGCTCTGTCTCTTGTCTCCAGAGCTGAAGCTGTCTCCTGAATGGAAAGCACTCTGGTCTGACATGGTGAAAAGGGGTCTGTGCCCCTCTGGTCTAGTGTCCTGCTCAGAGAAGTACCTGCTCCTCTTCTTGTCCTGGAGAAAACTGAGATGTGGCAGAGAAAAGCAGCCCTATATAGCAAATGGAGCAAAGTTCCACTGATAAGAGTCACTGTTTATGGTTCCAGCATAATCAGTGAAATACAAGCTGGAGAGTTCAGACAGCTGAAGACGTGGACCTGACTGTCACATTGATATTAAGGCTAGTTTGACCGTTGATGAGAGAAAATGAGTCAATCTTATTCCATGCAGGACAATTTTCAGAAGACTGGATCTTTTAAGGTGGTGTCAGAGATGAGAACGGCCCGTCCAAATCCAGACTGCACAGATCCGTCATGCTGCCTGAGCGTTAAAAATGTGTCCTATACTGTGAGGTAGGAATATCTTGTTGATATGGAATGAAACCAGTGAAATCGATGATTGTCTTAAACTCAGTCTATGCAAGCTAGCATTGAATCTGCAACCATAATTTAGTACCGGGTTAATGGTAAAACTGTTTATTTTAGTTTTATTGCTGTTTACCCACTACTGCACCTGACACATGTACTGTATATTAACCATCAGCAATTTTAATGACTGATTAGTTCTCAAGATCATGTTAAATGTCAAACTTTTAAAATCCAATAATAGCTTTTTAATACTTGATTATCTTTACACAAACAATATGTTTACCCCCTCTTTTAGAACTTGAAACCTTAAAAACATCTCAATATAATTTAATATTAGTAATTTCTAAAATGCTTAGAAATGTTTTTTTACATGATAGATAATACACAATATATATTTTGTGATAATTTTGTTAATTCAGTAAATTCATGAAAATAGTGCATAACAGGAACATATTTTCTGATGTAAAAATGTATTTAAGATCTTTTAAAAAAGTGCTAAATACACAGATATGAGACTGTATATTAGGGCTATCCAAAATAAAAGTTTGTGTTTACATAATATATGTGTGTGTAGGTCTGTATAATTTGCATATATAAATACACACACATGCATGTATACATTTAAGAAATATTTGCATTAATATACTGTATATATATATTTATACATAATTTATATTAAATATAAATATTTATATTTTATATATTAATAACACATTTTTCTAAAATATACATGCACGTGTGTGAATTTTTATGTACAAATAATTATACACAGACAGTACACACCAACACAAAGTTTTATTTTAAATGCGATTAATCGCGATTAATCGTTGCCCAGCCCTACTTATTAATCTCAACACAATGTTAAAATTAAGCTTTTGTTAGCAAAAATTAAGAATAAAATTATGCAGATGCCTGAATTAAAAAAATTATACATTTCTTATATGTGGTGAATTACTTTGTTGATTGACCACTTACAGCACATGTGTTTATTGACAGATTACTGCTATGCCACTAGCATGTATATTCTTTTTTTGTGTAAAAATCCAGATATATAAAAGTTATGAGCATATTTTAATCTTAAAGCATGCAGCTGCCATTAAATGATCAGTGAATTAACTTTTAAATAGTCACAGTCACCTCTCGTCATCAGAATTTGTATGGCAACAATTATACAACTATTAGGCTTCAGGCTTTTAGTCTTTCATTAAAGTATACATAATACATTCTAGAAATGTTTTCTCAGTCAGTTTAACCCAGAATGTGTTTGGTCTTGTGTTTACCCAGTGCTGTGTTTGTTCACCACCCAAACTTTGTTGTTTTTGTTAACCCGTGATTTTCGAGTGCACTGTCTGTGTTTTTCTTCACTCATTTCCATCCTGCAATTTCAAACAAAATACTGACAAACTTAAAATTCTTGTTCATTTCATTAATATTTTTATTTGTTGTGTTACAGTGAACATGTAGGACCTTGGTGGGACCTTCCATCTTTTAGAAAAAAATGGACACGGCAAATACTGAATGAAGTGTCATTTCATGTGGACAGTGGGCAGATAATGGGAATTCTGGGAAACTCGGGTAAGAGACGAAATCACTGATGCTTAGAACACATTTTCATAACAGAGCCCACAATATACTATTGTGAAATAAATACTCAGCTACAGTATGTGTTAATGTGTTACTTAACATGATAATGGAATTTACTTTACAAGGAATGTAGATTTTCTGTTTATTTATTTGTAGGGGTTAGGTGCCACTAAACAAGATAATCAGTGAAAAAAAAATAAATATATATATATATATATATATATATGAAGAGTTCAGATGCAAAAGCCTCTAAATGTCATTTGAAATTTTCTTCTTTAATGATGATTTTTATCAAGCTTGTATATTTAAGTTCAGTAATTTCACTTATATAACAATTAATAGGTAATTATCATTGCCATTTAAGTGAAATTACTGAACTTAAATATACAAGTTTGATAAAAATCATCATTAAAGAAGAAAATTTCAAATGGCATTTAGAGGCTTTTGCATCTGAACTCTTCATATATATGAATAAAATCTTATTCTCAGATCTTTCCAGTATCATTCATTCTATATGAAGTAAGCAACAGAATGGACAAGGCAACTTATTATCCAATTGTACATTACGTAAGGCTGCAAAGATGATTTCTTAAAGCTATAAACTTGTTGACCTTTTCCTCAAGGCTCTGGAAAGACCACTCTGTTAGATGTTATAGCAGGAAGAATTGGGAATTCTGGTAACCTTCTGGGAGACATTTTTGTAAATGGAAGAAAGCTAAAAACGGAGCAGTTTCAAGACTGTTTCTCTTATGTTCTTCAGGTGAGATTTGTTTTATTTAATTAAAACATAAAACTATTTGACACCAAGTTTGTGTGTGTATGTGTGTGTACCCGCATGTGCGTGCTTGTCTAAATGTCACGGGCTACATGTGACTGAACTTTAGTCAACTTTTGAAGATATATATAGATAAAAAAGCGATTGACTATTATCTACTAGAGGTCATGTCGGCCACAACCAGACTTAGACGCATATAGTACAGTTTGCAGTAAAGGTCATCAAGAGTGAACTCTGAATTTAGTCGTTACACATGAGTTCATTGTAATATTCTTCAAAACTATTCATGCATATCTTCTGGAAAATGAAATAACCATGGCAAGACTGCCTTATTACAGGTAATTTTTACAGCTTAAATTTATTATGCAAGGAAGCTATAATCTAATCCAGTAATTAAATGTCTCAGGGGCTAAATGTACAGAGACTGGCTGAAACTAAAGTTATGATGAAAGTACATTTCAGCATTTCAAACTTTTTTGGCAAATACTACAGTTCATTTCAGAAATCACATACCATTTAATCTGCCTTTAACAGCACTGTAATTTTTTTTAATAAGTGGGTAACACTTTGCAATAAGGTTCATTAGTTAATGTATTATTAACTAACATGAACTAACCATGATCAATACATTTTTTACTGTATTTATTTGCTTTTTATGTTTGTTTACTAACATCAACAAAGAATGTTCATTGTTTGTTCATGTTAGTTCACAGTGCATTAACTAATGTTAAGATTTGAATAAAGTATTAGTAAATGAAATTAACATGAACAAAGATTAATAAATTCTGCATAAGTGCAGTTCATTATAACTAATGAACCTTATTGTAAAGTGTGCTGCCTTAAAATATGAAGTTTAGTCCACCTGAAATGTGAAGATGTCTTAATTGATCAAGACGTTAAAATCAGGGATGCTACTCATGATAGCTAATGGAACTTTACAACAATTACAGATGTAGACATGACGCACAAACTCAACAACCTTATGACTTCTTCAAAGGAGTAAGCACAATACTTAATAAATACTAACCCTAAACTCCAAATACAGATAAGAACTTAAAGCAGTGACATTTAAGAGCACTTGCCCACTCAGGAGCAAAGTTTAAAAATTGTGAAATGTTGAATATGTTGATAATGTCAGTCTTTAATACATTACCAGAATAACCTTTAAATATTATCATATGCGTATTATTGCTGATACACACCACTGTACATGCACACCTCATACCAGAGGTCAGCTCTTATTGGATGAACTGTTTAAAGAAACAATTCACCCAAACATTTTAATTTAATAATTTACTCACTCTCAAGTCATTTGGTAATTTCTTAGAAGTTTCAGAAATTGGGATTTTTAACAGACTAACTGATCAAGCTGCTCTTTTTTCACACTATTTTGTGCTCCATGAATGAAAAGTAATTAGGGTTCTCAACTTTTTTTTACTCCAAGACTTTTTATTTACAGAAATTATGATTGGCAATGTATTAAAATAATAAACAAAATTCTGTAATTCCAATAACTGAATTTTCCACAGAGTTTACACTGTGTATTACTAGTAGTAAATGATTGTAACTTTCCTAGTTTGTGATTACAGTTTTTTATTGCTTTACTCACAAATACCAAATCATGCCTGATAAAATATAGAGTTGTGCGAGGATGATGTGAAAACCTGGAAGACTAATTCACCTTTTGTTACCTCAAGATTTTACCCTCTAATAGGGTTTTTTAAATGGGGTTTTCAATTTACAATAAATTACACGCACTCATATCGAAAATGCAAATTTAAAACAGTTTTGTTTATTTTTGAAAACGCACATTTATAAGTAACTAGATAAGACTGTTTGGGCAGTTTACATTGTAAAACAGAATGTAAAAGTATCGTCAAATTATTACCACAGGCTTTATTTTACTCATACAGTATATTGAAAAACCCCATTATAAAACTTCATAGGAAAACCTTGAGGAAACCAAGGAAGAATTTGTCTTAAAAAATTTGAATTACCGGTAATTAAGATTTTATTCATTTTTTTCCCAGGTCTAGAAATCACATTTTTAAAATTTAAAAGAACTATCCCTTTATATTCACCTTAGTATTCTTTATGTGGGAATACAGCCTTATTTTGAATGCTTACATAGAACGTTTTCTCTTTCTCTCTTTCTCTCTCTCTCTCTCTGTCTCAGAGTGACAATCTCTTGAGCTACCTGACTGTGGAGGAAACTCTGACATACACTGCTCAACTTGCTTTGAGAAAACACTCTGCTGAGGCCATACGCAAGAAAG